AAGTATTTACGACGCGTTTCTTAGAGCGTTATCTTGAAGGGTTTTAATTTTCATCTGCAAATTATAAATATTACAATTGCTACAACCAACTCTACCTCGTTAAGCTTTTGCCATTACTTCACCTGTTGTTTACATGTCAAATTGTCTGATTTTTAGAGACACCATATGCTTCAAACGAAGGGCTCGTATGCTTCCCAAGGGCGAACGTCCGAGGGTAAGGATTTCGAACTACCGACCTTTTCATATTTACGATAATTCGGACTTCGCAATCTACCACTACCTTATGATATGAATGCATTCGTGACTTGAATTTAACCTTATCACACCTATCAGCAGTATATCTGAGCATACACTGTTTCCTGCGGAATATAGAAGCGTTGTTTATTGAGAGTAGGTGACTTAAGATCTTAACTTGATTTTAAAGGGCTTACGTCTGGATTGCCAAAAAAAATCGTGCCACTCTCCTCTCGGCGACCAACAGAAAAACGGATGGTCCAGCAAGATCCAATAGCTTTATGAAGATCAATGTGTTATAGAGAGCGGGGAAACAGACCAAAAGCTACGCACTATAACCAGATGTTTTTAGATTGCGATCGGTCCCCTAAGCAAAAGATCATCTGTACGGACAATTGGTCATAACTAATACCATCAACACAAAATGGGATATCTTCATTTGGTTTTTGCTATTATTACATGGATTGGCTTCCTTCTGCCCTTTCTGTTTAGTTTTCAACCCATTAAACCCCACGTAATACATGTCTGGTTGCCAGTCGTAGAGTGCTTCGGAGGAATCTTATGTTTAAAATCGGTCGTACACCGCACTTTTAGAATATTGAGAGTAACTTCGACAGAATCTCATTGTATGTGCCCTCACCGTCGTGTTTGGAAGTTTCCTTTCTAAAAAATCTTAGATCCTAAACGTAGGAGACAGCCTGTCAGTTTTTCTTTTACGTACCCCTCCTCTTGCATTGCTGGTCGGTCAACGCGATAAATATGACCGTTAACATTGAATCCTTTTTTCCTGCCATTCTCGACCTTAACTGATTCTGAATGCTTGTATTTGTAGGTGAAGGTTCCGTCGAATTTCTCTAACAGAACCTACGAACCAGTCGTCGGATGTACGCAGAGTAAAAAATCAC